TGTATAATAGTTATTCGTCACAAAACATGAATTATAACTATGAAGATATATACATGTACCAGTATTTCTGTTATGTCCGTTATCAAAATGTATATGGAACGTGGTATTGAAAGACTGAAACTGAGCATCTTTTGATGCTAACAATTATTTGCAAAGAGAATTAACTTCTAAATTTTGTTTTGTATCATGATATTATCATACAGTATACTGAAAGGAAAAAGGAAGCGCATAGTAAAGTTTTGAATTAAATTAAAACTTATTTTTTGAAAATGTTTAATATTTGTTATCAAACATTTTAATGCTCTTTTAATCAAGAAGTTACCAAAACCTTGTGTCACTTTGACTGATAATTCATGGGTTACCAGGTATTGAAATCGATATGTCGATACCTCCCCTCCCCCCCCCCCCCAATTTAAATAAAAATTCTTATCATCTCCCTCTTGCATCCGTAACAACCCTAATTCTCCTTCCATTATGTTCATTTATCTTTCTCATAGGATTATTATTCAACCCTTCTGACGGTAGTCTTACTGGTTGAAAGTAGCTTTAACATTCTACATCCAACAAATCCCCCGCCCAATGAATCCCACGAATTTTCAATTTAGGATGGAATTAACGGAATCCAGCTAGTTTGGTACACGTGAATGTTTGTAAGAAAGTTTCGTTAAAAGTTAAACACTGGCTACATTGCCCCAGTGTGAACATGCTATAAAACATTACGCATACGACGCGTACGTGCGTGTGTGAAAGCAAAATCGGCTTTAAGTACCAAACTCGCGGACCGAATTAGGGCAGAGAGTTTCTGTCAATAACAAAGTTAAATTATGATTATGATTGTCTGCTGTACAAATATCGGTTTCAGTGATAATGCCTTGACGATAACCGAGGTAGCATGATGAAAAGTACTAATCTTGATGTGACATTGTAACGCGCCAACGTCATCGTCAGAGTTACTCTCTGACAACCGAAAAAAACTTCTTCGGTTGAATAGTTAAAAGCAAACTGCAAAGCAACATGTTGCTGCCTTTTTATTCACTTATGCAATGCAATTACTAGACCCAATGTTACTTCCGTCAGCCATACCATGATTGCAAGAAATTTATACTGACTACAAATATGCAAAAACGATTTTTATAACTCTAATGTATCTAATTGAGATCATCAATATGCACGTGTGTTTGGCTTTTTATCACTTTCCCCTTATGACGCTATACGTTTCATGCAAACATGAAACATATTAAGTCGTAAACTGTTATTTTCAAGAATACTGATTAAAGTATCCCCTAAATGGGATTGAGGACGATCACTGTTCGATATCTCCACATTTCTTTTTTATAGTAAACACTGTTCTTGGACGAATTTGTGAAAAAAATTAATTCAAACTACAGCAAAAGATTTAATTACTAAAAGAAAAGAAAAAGATCCAAAAATTGAGATATATCATTATGTCAATTGCTGACTGACGTTTCTCATACTAATTATTAGATAATTCTTTCGTTATTTTCCGATCATGACTTTAAAACCCCCCGGCAGGTGTGGCCGGTCGACAAGGGATGTCCACTCCTCCATGGCACCTGATCCCACCTCTGATGGTGTTTTGGAGGTATGTGTTTGCTCTGCTCCTGATTTGTATTGTTTAATGGAATTTTGAGTTTGATTACTGTTAGTTATCTCCATGTATTTTTGAAAAATAGATTTTAAAAATTTAGCATCAAAATTGAAATTTTCTGAGAGAAAAAATTCTCACCGACCTATGTACAGACCCATTTTTTCATCCTGGATTAAAAGACAGCAAAAGAAACAATATTTTAGACTTGACCGGATACGTATAAATGGTCCTATAAGGTATTTGTAAGGACAATGAAGTTGATATTGACCTAGTAAAATAGTTCAATATGCCATTCTCATGATAAAGTTTTTCTTATGCGCTATATCACAATCATGTAAACTTTTCATGTTTGGAAAGTGCGTTGATGTTTTGCTTATAATATCAAAATAAAAGTTTTTTGAATGGGCAAAAAGATGCTCAGGGCTTTTTTTTTTTTTTTTTTTTTGGTTAAATTATTTTGGTTAAATACATTCTGATTGTATAAACAAATACTCAGATGTTGATATTTTAAAATATGCTTGAATTTCTGATAAAACAATATCTTTGCAAATTTTGGAGTTCAAGTCTTCCAAACAATCTCCCGGATTTCTCGTAGAACCAATTTCATCCATGTATGAGCCGAATTATTTTTGCGTTCATAGGAACAAGAATTCCTTCAAAACTTCTGTATGAAAAGAGATCTTTGACTGTAGTCTTTAATCCGTCTTAAAAAGGATTTACATGTACCATCATACAAACAGTCCAGCACTGAGTTAACCTTTTCGTAGACGAGAAGAATATTTGATTAGAAAACTCTGGATGGCCTTTCCCTAGCGATGTAATACAATGTCGATAGTGTTGAAAATCTTTCCAGTCCACATTGTAACAATTTAAATGTGATGAGACTATTTAACCATACACAGAGACGTAAGCGTAGTCATGGACATCCATCTTACAATAAACCTTTAATATACGAGGTCTTTTTTGATTTTTTACTACTAGTACCTTATGTAAATCAGCAGTTAGGTTTTCACATTAGCATCAAACTTTGTTATGGCCTTTTGAAACTTTTAATTAGTCTACATGAAAAGGCCAAGGATAGTCTTTTTTCATTCCTCGACACCAGAGTACAGGCTCGGATCTGTGTTTTGGATGAAACATATGGAAAAAACGAACAGTATTCAAGATCGAAAGTCCAATACACGATTCAAAATAGGAGCAGAGCAAAAACGGACCTCAAAAACATCGGAGATGGGATCAGGTACCATGGAGGAGTAAACATCCCCTGCCGACCGGTCACACCCGCTCTGTGCTCTTTGTCATGATCGGGAAATAACGAAAAAAGCCATCGTCAATTAAGTGTATAAAGGACTAACAATAAGTATGAAAAACGTCAGTCAACATTTGACTCAATGATAAATTGTATTTCCTGACAAGATCATTGTATCGACCAAAGAACTTACGAAATGATGATTTTAAGCGAGACAGCTTTAATTCTTGTTTCATCAAATTGTTTTTCAATAATTTACCTTATTTTAAAAATTGGTCATATGTAGAACATTCTCTTGCGTATCGAATCAACTGGGATATATAAATTCCGTATGCAGGTGACGAAGGTATACATGTATTGCTGCATAAGTACGGGAAGTTGACGATAGAAAAGTTAAAGTTATCACGTTTATCACAGAGCTTGGTTGTTAGATTACCATTAACGTCGTTTTCAAGAAAAAAATATCCAAATATGATTCAAATATATCAGACTCTGTAGTATCTTTTATATCAAGCTCATCAGGATATATCTTATCGACATAAGAATGGAATTAAATGACCATTGTTAATTGACAAAACGTCGTCGATATATATCTAAATTTTGAATTTAAGGCCACAACAAGTGTTTGTTGATTTTAGTGAAATCTTGTGTTTTCAAATTGTCCAAAAGTTCCTCGGAATTTTTAAGCATCCACATCTGATTTACATCACTTCTTGAATATATTGCTGCACAGTGCTCTTGAAGTTTCTCCGTTCAAATTCATTTTGGTTCTTTGGAATATTAAATATTTTCAAAACTGACATATTGAAACTGATATTGCAAATCGAAGGTTTTTTAAACCTCCACTTTTAACATAAGAAAATGCAACTCAAACAACCAGTTTTTTTCTTTCTTTAACTCCGTGATGCATACTTGTAAATATGCATGAATCAAAGTCTTGGCTTTTTACATGTACATCATTGACGACTGCTTTTCTAATAAAAATGAAACTCATAAATTTACTTACCTGTCATTTGCAAAATTATTTTGTTAAAAAACACTCTGATTTTACACTTTGAAGTTGATATTGAAAGATGATCGAGTTTTTTATGAACAATATCTATGTGGTTTCATCCAACAATCTATTTGAAATTCCATCGGTACCAATTGCTCTCCTTTATTAGCAGACCTATTATTGTATTCATATAAAGCAGAATTTGTCCAAATTCTGTCACATGAAAAGAACATTTTCTGTGGCCTTCAACTCGACCATAAGATGTATATCGACGATTTACTATCAATAAACATTGGTTATTTCCATTCTTATGTCGATCCGATATATCACGATGAACTTGAAATGAAAAAGTATGACACATCTGTTTTATATTTGGATGGTTTATTTGAAAAAGAAATTAATGGTCATCTAACAACCAAAATTATGATAGACGTGATGACTATAACTTTTTTATCATAACTTTTCTTTCTTTTGCAATAATGAACATTCATCACCTGCATACGAGGTTGATACGATACGCAAGAGCATGCTCTATGTATAAACAATCTTTATAACGAATTTAATTATTGACAAACAAGACTATCAGCAGTCTAAAGTCATCATTTCGTAAGTTCTGTGGTTAATAAAATGACATTGTCAACAAATACAATTTATCATTAAGTCAAATGCTGACTGACGGTTTTCATGTTAGGCAATTATTAACAAATGTCTCGATCATAATAGGTATCACAAGGCCAGTGTGTCCAGTCGGCAGGGGATGCTCAATCCTCCATGGCACCTGATCCATCTCTGATATTTTGGAGGTTTGTGATTGCTCTGCACCAAATTTGTATTGTTGAAAGGACTTTTGAGCTTGAATTGTGTCCGTTATCTCCGTATACATGTATTTCTCTTCAGTAATTAAAATCCATTTGGACCTGAGATCAAAGATACACAGGATCCACAAATCAATATATTAATTTTGGGGATCCTTGGTCAACCTATTTCTATTTTTAATTTTTTTCTTTGTTTTATCAAGCAACCCATAATCCTTCTTAATACATTCAGGAAATTGTGTGCTTTATAATTTGTGAAGATTTATGTTAAGGCCCTGAGTCTATAGTAGATAGTCCTTTTAAGAATATCTCGCAAAAAATAACAAAAAAATCTTTTTTCAAACTATGCTATGCTTTATTTCAATAATATTTAAATGTCACTTCTTGTCCGAAGTTTTACATTTTGTAAAAGAGGTTCCATTTAGAGGCTAACCTTGCATGCACACTTCTTATCCGAAGATGTACATGTTGTAGAAGTACTTCCATTTGGAGGCTAAGCGACCAGGGGCGGCTGCAACACGTGAGCTCTTCCTATCAGATATAACAGCTTGCATACACACATCTTGGCCGCTGAACTTCTTTATCTGATCCAAAACAGACTTCGCTGACCAGGCGTAGTGAATCAAAACTACTGTCTCCGTTGTTACTAAACCTAATTTCTCCTGATAAAAGCTTTTGTTAATTTTGCCTTTTTCCTTCGGTACACTTGATGTTATAATATTTCTGTTGTCTTTCTCCAAATATTTGTCCCCTTTACAAAGTTTAAAAGCATGTCCGTTTTTCCCAGTCCATGATTCGGCCATTTTGTCGTAGACGATGACTACCCAATCCCTCCAGTAATATTTCTCAGAGTAAAACTTGTACAACCGGTTAGCAAACTGTGCGTTATCATCTTCTTTGAACTGTGCAGAAAGGTCCTTCATGTCTTGGAATTTCTGAGTTTCCCATTTACTAGTGACTTCTTCATCCACATCTTTTACTTTCTGTAGAACTTTCTTGATGTTGGTCTCCCATTCTTTTAGCTCCATTTTATAGCTTGCTTTTTTGTTCGTCAGCCTCAGATAAGCTAAGTTGACCTTCACAGCTATCATCAGAAGTCCGACGCATCCAGACATTACCTTCTGCATCTTCTTGCGATCATAATTTGTATATTCCATTGCTGCTTTTGGAATATTGTCTGTAAACGACTGCGTAGTCATAATGCCATTATAAATCTTTTTAGCTGCACTAAGATAACTGGTTTTGAAGGCATTGATAAATCGAGATTTCTGGCCTTTTACTGCATCTTTAGGGGCTTTCATTAGCATGTGAAGCCGATACGATAAAGCGTTGACGTTTTGTTCTATTTCGGAAAACTGTGCCTTGAGAGCTTTTGATTTGATAAGATTTGTAACTTCTCCGAAAAGTCTTTCAACATTTCTGAAATTGGAATCGACCTTTGAAAATTGTTCTTTTAAGAAAGTGAGAGTTGGATCTTCTTGTTGTGGAAGAAACAAGGTTATTATGTCCATGAGTGGTCCAACTGCCGCCAGGAAAGGAGCGACTTTGCTCATGATCGTAGTGAACTTTGCAAGCACCTTTACGCCAGATACAATACCTGTAATAGCTTCAGTAGCTTCGATTCCTGTTTTTACAGCATCTGATGCCTCTTTGACGTCATCTCCTACGTCGGCTTGAAGATCAGAGATCAGAAAGAAGAGGAACAAAGGCAGAGACAAGCGGACAATCAACATGGTTTTAGGTCAGGGGGTCAGTAGTACAATAAACCTGAAACACAAAAAAGGTGACTTTAATCTTGTTCAATCTTATTGCAAGTTTAATTCTTTTTGCATGAAAACATATGCTTGTTTTTGGTTATAAGTGTAATTACATTTGTATATGATATTCATATCTGTAATTTAAAACATTTAACCAATTTTTACAAATTATCTATATTCAGCCGGGAAAATAATTGAAATTCAAATTTAGACACATTCATAATCAAGATCGTGAAGAATAAAAATATATCCTAGAAATAGTTGAGTAAACAACACATTTGATGACTAGAATCTTTTATTTTATTTAAAAGGATTTTGGGGGGATATTTTGTTAACAAATCCAAAGTAAAAGTTTGAATGAAAAATGGTAGAAAATGTTGTTGATTTCAAAACTGTGAAAAGGTCCATCCCTTTTTAAAGTTCGGGCAGTGTCTTCTCCTCAGTCTTGACATTGGTCTTGCTTTTGGTCCATTAATATTTGAAAACGAATTTAACTTCTCGGATACCTTATCCAAATGTTTATCATATGAACATTTTTTAACATTTAACATTTTAACATTTGTATTGAAGAAAACTCACGTTTTGAAATATACACATTATTTACAATAAACTTAAAAATAATTATAAGGAAGGAGAAAACCCGCGATTACTTTTTTATAACCAAATTTAAAGGTACTTGGACACAGATTTGAAGTTATTATTTTCTCTATAATATAACGACATATATATTTTAATAGTATTTCACACAAAAATTAATCAAAAATCTTATCTCATATAAAAGATATTAAAATTTCAAATTTTTTGGCGGGTTTGACCTTGCACTTTCACAAATTAATTTTATTCTTAATCCTTAGGAAAAGTGGCAATTTTGAAAAATATTAATACTATAATCCAGAAAATTCAGAGTAGACATGTTCGAAAGCAAAACAAACACACAATATATTGATAATCCGTGCAGTTGTGGTAAGCAGACTGTGACTATTGAACGCACCCGGTGAATTATAAACATAAACAATAACAAAACCCGTGCCATGTTTACAAAAACTGTGTGCATAATACGAGTGTGCTCGATTTGCTAAACTATGTACGCAACTCTTAGTTCGGAATGACGATACTTGTGAAGGAGTTTTGCTTTCTAACATTTCTTCTCTGAATAAAATTATTTTTCTGGATAAAACTTTTAATATTTCTCATTAATACACAACAAAATTACCACTTTTCCTTAGGATTAAGAATAACGTTAAAATTTGTGCAAGTGAAAGGATGTAAATCAAACCCACCAAAAAATTTGAAATTTTAATAACATTTAAATGAAATAAGACCTTTAATTAATTTTTGTGTGAAATGCTATTAAAATATATAAGTCGTAATATTATAGAGAAAAAATTGACTTCAAATCTGTGTCCAAGTACCTTTAAAGAATACAGCTCGTATAATTGCTAGTGTCGAAATATTTTGATTTTAAAATAGGATTGGAGAAGAGGGGGTTTAAAAGACTTACTTTTATGTACCTCCAAGTACCAAACCTGTCCATGTTCATATTTTCACCAACTTGTATTTATACTTGAGCCTTGTCGGCTTATTTCTCAGATGTTACAATGGCTTTGTTTAACTTCCGTAGAGATGCTGTCGAATAAGTTATATTAACAGAAAACAAATTATATTTGTTCTGTCTATTGTCAATTCATCTGTTTAATTTTTTACATTTATATATACAAACCGAAGTTAAAACGCTGCAGGTAAAATTTGATAAATTGTTAGGTGCTACCTAAATGTGTATACTCAGCTTTCCTCCTTAATTTATTCTCTTTGCCAAATAATTTTTGTTTATAAAAAGACCTTGGTAAGTAATTTATTTTTTGGATATATGGCCCATGTATGATTTTTGACAATGTTAATTTTCCTAGTTTGCGGAAGGAAACTCGAAATTTATACTTCTAGAGGAGCACAACGTACATTGTGCATGTATGTCTCTTTTTTTCAAATACATGTAGATACTGCATTGGAAATTCTTCTTACGGTTTGATCCGTAAGAAATTTAATCACCTATTTAATTAAACAAAGTTAAAGAATTGCCGTTTCTACATTTCGTTTTGTATACTAGTAATACATCGAACTGAATGCCTCTTTACATGTAAACTTTGTAACTTTTATGGACAAGAAATTGACAAACTTCACTTTCTTTGGATGATAAAGGAAATGTATTAGGGATTTCTGATACAAGTAAAGAGATAAAATTTTATTTTTATTTTTTGTACTTTTCTGGTACTTCTTCTATTGGTTGCTAAATAAGAAACCCATATCTAGCGCATGGCTCTGTATTTTAAAAATAGAGTATGTTTTCGGCATTCGTAGCTCTCTGGTCTTCATATATATACATCCCGGAGAGCTCGATTTTAGGTCATATGAGCTGAAAGCGCAAGTGAGCTTTTTCTGATAATATGTTGTCGATCTGTACACTTTTCACATTTTCAAGAACCACTAGGCAAATTATAACCAAAGTAGGTACAAAGCATCCTTGAAATCAAGTGAAGGGGGTTTAATTTGTTAACATAAAGGGTCAAGTCCCATAATAAGCCGAGATGGGATAAGGAAAAAATAGGGCGGGGTCCTAAAAAACATGAGAGAATTCTGGGAAAGTTAAAATTTAATTTGTTCAAATCATAGCCCCGGGGAAGGCTAGGCCATAAAAACTAAAACTCATGTGGAATCCAAGTTTAACTTTTACATCAACATGTTTAGGGAAAATCTATAAAAACCCTCGTCTAAAGAACTACATGTACAGAAAATCTGAAAGTAGTGTGAAAATACCCTTGGGTATTGTACACGTTGATTCTAATTTGTTCAAATTATAGAGAAGGGCCACATATACATAAAGCAATCTTTTTATAAACGTATTTTTATGTTTGCATTTTTTAAAAAAATCTTTTATTTGTTATATTTACATTTTTAACATTATTAAAATTTTATTAATATTTTTTGGCTTAAAAGATTATATCTATTTGCAATTCTTATCTATTAATTCCTACGAATATCAAGAGGCCCATGGGCCACATCGCTCACCTGAGCATATGGGCTAGTTAAAAAACACAAATCAACTTAGTATTGAAAAGCTGACTTGTTGGGGGAAGGGGATTTGAATTTTCTGTTACTTGAGTATGTCACTATATCAATAAAGCATACATGTATAATTAATTTTGCAATACTTGAAAAGAAGATTTATAAAGAATTTTCGAGCATATTACAACCCCATTGTGACCCCTCGCTAATACCCCGACCCCCGACCACCCACCCCCACCCCCACCCAACCCACGGGACATTCTCTGAAAAATTTGAATCTTCACTACTTGTAGATGCTTACATTTCAATTTGATTAAACAAAGCTTTCTGCTCTGGAGAAGATTTTTTCCTATATATTCTTATGCAAAACTTTGAGTCAACATTGTGGCCTCGAGCTAACCCGGGGGTCATGATTTGAACAAATTTGATTAAACACTGTCTGAGGATGCTTCCACTTGAGTTTCTTCTTTTTTGGTTCTGGAGGAGAAGATTTTTAAAGATTCCCCCTATATATTCCTAAGAAAAACTTTGATCAGCCATAATAGCCCTGCCCTAATCCCGGGGGTCATGATTTGAACAAACTTAGGATGCTTCCACATGAGTTTCATCTTTACTGGCCCAATGGTTCTGGAGAAGAAGATTTTTAAGATTTTTCCTTTACATTCCTATGTAAAACTTTGATCAGCCATTGTGGTCCCGCCCTAACCCCGGGGGTCATGATTTGAACAAAATTGAATTTACACTAACTGAGGATGCTTTCACATGAGTTTCATCTTTCCTGGCCCAATGGTTAAGGAGGAGAAGATTTTTAAAGATCTTTCCCATATATTCCTATGTAAAACTTTGATCAGCCATTGTGGCCCCGCCCTATCCCCGGGGGTCATGATTTGAACAAATCTGAATTTACACTACCTGAGGATGCTTCCACATGAGTTTCATCTTTCCTGGCCCTTTTCTGGAGAAAATTTTTGAAAGATACGTTAATTTTTCATTAATTCATAATTATCTCCCCTTGGAAGAGGGCTTGTCCCTTCATTTGAACAAAGTTGAATCCCCTTCACCCAAGGATGCTTTGTGGCAAGATTGGTAAAAATTGGCCCAGTGGTTCTTGAGAAGAAGTCGAAAATGTGAAAAGTTTACAGACAGACGGACGGACGGACGGACTACAGACAAATTGTGATCAGAAAAGCTCACTTAAGCTTTCAGCTCAGTTGAGCTAAAAAGTGATTTAATAGTCTTTGTTGAGCATTCCCCACTCGGCTCTATGATTTGAATTAAAATATTTAATACGTTATTTCTTAGTATATATTAATTTTCTTTTAGGGAATTTTTGGTTTACAAAGTATATCTAGCATGTCCTGTTAAAAACCTCCCGCTTTCTATTTTCCTGTTTTAATCTGATACCACATTTTTTTTTATTGATCAGGTATTATAGTACTGGCAACTTTATTCCTTCTGGTTTACATTTCTTCATATTTGCAGTTTGGAAACAAATATTTCACTTGTATCACTGTTTGAATTTATATTTCTATGTACTACATGTATTTTAGTTGCATGACATATAGTTATAGTTAAGGAGAGGATCTCGTAAGTTGAAAGAACTTGTTTCCAATCCTTTTTGATTTATTCAATAAAATAATTATTATGTTCAAAACAATCATGAATGACATCATATCTCTTGGTGTGTAATTGCTGTCTCATGTTCTAATTCTCGAGTTTCCGTGGCGGAGTGGTGTGATGTTCTGATTTTTATATCCATTCTAAAATTTAGAACATGGTGGGTTCACATAAATACAAGTAGATAAGAATGTTGTAAAACTGCAACTAAAAGATAACTATTATTTATTAGATTATTTTTCTTCCAGTGTGACGATCACATGCAGATAAGTACGTCTGCTGTTTATCACGTAATTTAATTTCTGTATATCTGTACTATGCAATAAATTCACATATTAGGACAAAATTATAGTTCAAGTACATATGGACCTATACCCTAGGTATATTCTCCAAGAGAGAATTCTGGTTCCACTTGATCAAGCCCCGAGACTGTAAACAGGAGCAGACTAGTATGTAGCACAGCAACAATAGTGATTTGGAAATGTAAAAATAAAAAGGACCTATCCATCCACCCACCCAAACCCCCCGAATTAATATAATGTGAGCCACCAAGAGAGATAACTCTAAATGCAACTCTTCCTTTTTTGTACAGCATAATTTGAGTATTTTTTTCGAAGCTAAAAGAATTTAATATGCAATAGGTCTAACATGACCACAGTTTCTTAGAAATTAATTTCAATTTAGTCTGACATTGTGAATACCAGGTAACTTATTTTATTTGCAACTGGATAATATTACATAATGTAAACATATTGCAATGGTGTATAGTATTACATACATGTAATGTAAACTTTTCAATTATGAACATAGATAATATTTTTTGATATATCTCAATTTTTTTGCAATCAGTTAGATCGAACTGTGCATGTAGTTTTATATCAATCAATCAAGAAAAAAAGTGAAAAAACATGGACAGATTTTGAATAGTTTTCAGGAAAATCAACACTTTTTTCACTGGGAAAACTTTCATAATACCTTGATAAATTCATACTTGTCATGGTGAGTAGGATACATATACATAAAGATGGCTATTACTGAATATAAATATCTGCAAATGAATAAAAAAAACAAGAGGCCCATGGGCCACATCGCTCACCTGAGAAGCTTTGACCATTCTGTTCTTTACCAGATTTCCCCCTCGTTATACATAATGCATCCCCACCCTACCCCACTGATCATAATTTAGACATTTTGAAATCTACACTACCCCATGATCCTTCAATGGGCAAATATGTTTCAGCTTTTTTGGCCCAGTGGTTCCCGAGAAGATTTTCAAAGATTTTTCCTATGTATTTCTATGTAAAACTTTGATTCCCTATAATGGCCCTGCCCTTCCCCCGGGGGTCATGATTCCTACAATTTAGAATTTACACTACCCCAGAATGCTTCCACATAAGTTTCACTTTTTCTGGCCCAGTGGTTCTTGAGAAGAAGATTTTCAAAGATTTTTCCTATATATTTCTATATAAACCTTTGATTCCCCATTGTGGCCCCACCCTTCCCCCGGGGGTCATTATTTGAACAATTGAGAATCTACATTATACCAGGATGCTTCCACATAAGTTTCAGCTTTTTTGGCCCAGTGGTTCATGAGATGAAGATTTTCAAAGATTTTTCCTATATATATATGTAAAACTTTGATTCTCTATAATGGCCCTGCCCTTCCCCCGGGGGTCATGATTCCTATAATTTAGAATTTACACTACCCCAGAATGCTTCCACATAAGTTTCACTTTTTCTGGCCCAGTGGTTCTTGAGAAGAAGATTTTCAAAGATTTTTCCTATATATTTCTATATAAAACTTTGATTCCCCATTGTGGCCCCGCCCTTCCCCCGGGGGTCATTATTTGAACAATTTAGAATCTACATTATACCAGGATTTTTCCACATAAGTTTCAGCTTTTCTGGCCCAGTGGTTCTTGAGAAGAAGATTTTCAAAGATTTTTCCTATATATTTCTATATAAAACTTTGATTCCCCATTGTGGCCCCGCCCTTACCCCAGGGGTCATGAATGAAACACTTTAGAATCTACACTACCCCAGGATGCTTCCCCATAAGTTTCAGCTTTACTGGCCCAGTGGTTCTTGAGAAGAAGATTTTTTAATGACCCCGCCCTATTTTTGTCTTTTCTTGATTATCTCCCCTTGCGAGGGGATATGTCCCTTCATTTTAACAATTTAAATTCCCCTTCACCCAAGGATGCTTTGTACCAAGTTTGGTCAAAATTGGCCCAGTGGTTCTTGAGAAGAAGTCGAAAATGTGAAAAGTTTACAGACGGACAGACAGACAGACGGACAGACAGACGGACGGACAGACAGACGGACGGACGACGGACAAAATGTGATCAGAAAAGCTCACTTGAGCCTTCGGCTCAGGTGACCTAATAAATGAACTGAATTTACAGGGCATTATAATGAATTTGAAGGTTACTTTTATAAAACAGACACCACATGAGATGTTTTGACAGCATTCATATAATTATTTAATGAGCATATTTTCCATTGATTGCTGCCATTGCATTATAAATAATTTAAATGAATACCATACATGATTTGAGATAAGCATGGTTTTATTCTCCATTTTTTCATTATACTAAGAGTATAGCTATGCTGAAATCACTGGGAATTTATAATACAGTCATGAGCATAGAGACAGAGTACTCACTAATGTAAACATTAACAACCTTTTAAATCAACTGTCATGTTCTAAATTTTGCATTTACTCCCAACCGGTACATTCAAAATTTAGAACATGACACAACAATTCAATATAACAATTATAGATTTCATATAATACTATACAATGATTACACACTTTAACTAAATCATTACATATTATATACATTAAATAAATCTCTTACTAGCAAAGCAATTCAACATTTAATGAAACTTTTTAGACAACCTAATTAAATTAGTGGTTCTGATACACTTTTGTTTTAATTTTATATCTGGTATTAGTCAGATTGAATTTTTACAAAAAGCGACAATTTTCCACAGGATAAAAGATCCTTTTAACCCTGTTTTAAAAAATTAAAGAAGATAACCATATATGTAAATATTTCATCCATGTTTTACAGTTAAGTCATTAAACATCCATCATTATCAACTTGACTCATTTTTGGACCTGTTAGATTTGTACTCCTGCACAATTTTCCTAATAAGAATATCCTGCTCTTCGAATATTTGAGCCAGTGTTTTCCTTCCTTTCTTGATGCTGTATAGTTGTTCTTCACACTCCCCGGTGAGCCCGAACCGATGACAGTTTTCCAGCCAGAGTTTGAACTGCACACATTCATCCCCTTGTATTCCTTGAGGGGAGGGGACGTTTACCAGACTGTCCAATATGTTAAGGCCCTGTACCCCCTGAATGCAGCTATCAGAAGAATCAAACGGTGCACAGTACCCACAATCCCCTTGGACTCCTTGGTGTGAAATTTCTTTTTCACTGTCAACTTTTCTTTTTTTCTTGATCTGTGAATAATTTCTGGCAATGTCTATAATGACCTGTTCCTGTTCTCGGAATACTTCAGACAGCGTTTTGCGACCAGACACGATGTGATTAGCCTGTTCATCACATCCAGGGAGTCCATAACGTTGACAACTCTCCATCCACAACCGAAAGTTAACACAGTCATCTCCCTGGATTCCTTGAGGGGTGGGGTCACTCGCACCTCTGCTATCTATCTGCACAGTGGCAGCTTGACTTGGATGCATTGCAGACACACTAAAATGTCGAAATGTTTGGTGAACAGCAGTATTAAGTCCAACATTTGTTGGTTTATAACATGACATTTGATTCACGGTCCTTGTCCATTGGTCAGCGATAGGACTGGGCTTCGGCCACAGGTCACCGCCTGTAGTGGACACACATGATATAGCTCTTTTTGATGCTGTGCATCGTACTTTTCCAGTAAAGTACTTGTTAACTGTCCCCACCAGATATTTTTCACCTCCTACCTTCCACATATTGCCTGTCAAACTGAATTCAACTCCCGTTCCATGTGCCCCACAGCTGATCACCGGACGATCAAATTCGTGTTTACAAATTTTCCCCGTGATCTTTGTCAACAAGACGCTTAATGCTTTGTAATGTCATATTTTAGGGCTAGGGATATTTTAAAGATAAAATACATACAAAAATGATGCAAAATCATTCTAGAATAATGAATAGTGTATATATCGTTTGTTATTAATAAAATACAAATATATTTTTTAAAAATATTTCATAGGATTTATTATAAATCATTCATACTCGCGATAGGTGTACTACAGCAGTGGCGGATCCAGAAAATTTTCAAAAGGGGGGGGGGGGCGACCAGTTTGAGGTCAGGGTAGGGGGCCCACAGCCACACCAAAATAACATTGATTTATTAAAAATTGTGTATTTTGGGGGCACGAAAGGGGGGCCCGGGCCCCCCTCTAAATCCGCCAGTGTACAGAAACGCACAGGAGACCTAAAAGCGTTGTGCACTCGTTAATCGCGTGATAAGAAATCTCCTAGTATTTTGTGTATTGCTATAAATAACTTTCGCTATTTTTTATTTATTTTTCAAGATAACATAAACTACACTGTTTTAAAAGATCACAATTATGAATAAACAAGAAGCCCATGGATCTTAACATGCTTAATTAGTGCAGTGAGAACAAAATGTAAACATTTCTTCAAATGGCTAAAATACATTATATTTTGATCAAAATTTAAGTCTTTATGATAAAGATACAATAAATATGCATAACTGAATGCATGTTGTGCATATATAATCTATACTTTTGCAGAAAAATGCTTTTGATATGCTCCTTAGAACTGCGCAGCTACAGAATTCAGCAAAGCCCTAAAAAATCCAAAAAAATATGTAAACTGTGCATTAATGTTCTCTCTACAACCATTTGTTGAGAAAATGTCTAAATTTTGCACTTTTAAATGATAATTTCAAGTTCAAAACAATGTATCGTTGTCTTCAAAAAGAGTGTAAAGAACCATGAAAGTAGTTCATGGATAGCAGCACGTGGTCTATTTTTAGCACAGAATTTTGTTTTCCAGACCTCTTGTTAATATGGAGGGACATAACAATCTTTAAATGTAGAAGAGAATTACAATTGCAAAATATTTCAAATAATATGAACACTTTTAAAAGAGGAAATGTGTTATAGTGTTTCTTGAAGTAATTTATTCTAAATAGTGTACGTATTGATATAAAAAAATCTTAAACTCCTTGATTCAAGTAAAGGAAAAATGAGCACCAACAAAGTTAAAAATTAAGAGTTTGTAAGTTTGCCACAGATAACTTATAATATCTATCAAAAGTTAAATTATCTACGGTGGTATATTTAGGACACGCAATTATTTTTTTTTAAATACCAGAAAAAAAATTATTTTGTGAAAACGAGATAATTATCTTGTGAAAACGAGATATTATCTTGTGAAAACGACTTATTATCTTGTGAAAACGAGATATTATCTTGTGAAAACGAGAATTATCTTGTGAAAACGACATCTTGTGAAATTATCTTGTGAAAACGACTTATTATATTATGTCGTTTTCACAAGATAATAAGTCGTTTTCACAAGATAATTATGTCGTTTTCACAAGATTATATCTCGTTTTCACAAGATAATATCTCGTTTTCACAAGATAATTATGTCGTTTTCACAAGATAATATCTCGTTTTCACAAGATAATACCTCGTTTTCACAAGATAATATCTCGTTTTCACAAGATAATTTCTCGTTTTCACAAGATATTATCTCGTTTTCACAAGATAATATCTCGTTTTCACAAGATAATAAGTCGTTTTCACAAGATAATATCTCGTTTTCAGAAGATAATTTCTCGTTTTCACAAGATAATTTTTTTCTGGTATTTTAAAAACAAATAATTGCGTGTCCTAAATATACCACCGTAATTATCACCATTAAAACACAAAGAAATTAAACACATAAAATCGATATGAATGACCTTGTTTTAGTACCTACTAGTACGAGGGGTGATCAAAAAGTTCGCGAACTTTCTCTATACATGTGTATCTACAAAACGACAATTCAGATTAGAAACAAATTTGTTGTACACATAGCCAAACACAAGTTCTATAAATAGCATATGCTGAATAAAGTTTTGCTCACAATGTGAAAATGACGTCATTATGCAGGTACTTGTGACGAAAAATGGTTGTCTCAGTGGAACTCGTTCAACAAACGACTAAAATATTTATGGTATATCTTAAAAATGCCTTTGAAGTAGCGTATAAGAATTTGTTCACAGTTTATTAAGACAAATGACTTCCTATAAATTCAATCAATGATTGGATAGATCGTTTTAGTGAAGAAAGGCAGATGGTTAAATATGATACTTGTTATGTTGCCCCGTGAAAGCAAGTTTGCATATGAAAAGGGATGTGTTTTTAATTAAGCAATATGCTATCAAAGACCTCCAATTTACACTTTGAAAAATACTCGAATATTTCAACAATTATATAACTATCAAATACCTAGGATATCGTTTACTTTTTGATCTCCCCTGGTATACTCTGTCAAATAAACATTTACAATTTTCATTACAGCAGAGCAACATTTGAAAAGGGATGAAATCATTCAGAGTGGGTTAGAAGATTTAATGAATAAAAATCTTGTTTTTCTATTTGCCCATTTTGTCAAAATTACAATTTTACAGAGTAAAGAAAAAAAATCAACATAATTAAATATTTTATACCATCTTTAAAATGACGTTTGGTGGTCCTCCCAACTCATGGAAAAATTATTGGGTCGGTATTTATAGGTGAGAAAAAAAATTCTTAAAATTTAAACATAATTGTTGACGGAAGAAAAAAAATATCGTGTAATGGGATGTAAAAAAAAAAATTGAGTCGGGAGAGAGGGCAACCAAATATTTTTATAACAAATAGTCTTATAAGGCTAGTACATGTTCCATGACATACTTAGTAATGCAAACTTTTTGAATCTTTAGCACTATTTAGAAAAACAAACAAACATAGGATTTTCGGGGGGGGGGGAAGCCTCTCACTTTTTTTTTTGCGATGATAGACATAGCATATGCAATGGACCTTTCTTTGCAAACATTGTGCTTGCTTCTAAATTTCAAAGAAACAAATCAATATATTTTATCAAGCTTCGTATGTTCAATGAGCGAGAGCTTACAACATTGTCAACATAATGAGACATGATGCGTTTTTATGTCCAAACATTACTCCATACAATGTGAGGGTCATTGCAAACAATCTAGCTATTTATGTGAGGTGCTTGAAGGTAATCTTATAACTGCCTATTGTTTCTATCTAACTGCTAAACAAAATAGACATATATACCAACTTTTCGAATGTAAGACATGTAATTAATATTTGTTTTTCATGCACCGCATATTGTTTAACATTTTCAAATTAAATGCTAAGCATCCTCCTTGCAGTGCACCATTTGAAAACAACTTCTATCGCCACAGAAAAAAGACCCGACGTAAACACATATGTTTAGGACATTTTTTATCTTTTTTCTTGAGTTTTAAAGAAACCAACAAATTATCAAGACTTGTACCATGAAAAATTAAATATAATCATGATAATAAACGCATCTATCCACAGCAGATATATGCACATGCCAACCACGTGCTCAGTGGAATGATATTATCAAGGAAATTCGAGCTGTAAACAGAACAGTTTTTCCCGATTTGCTGGAGTGGCGTTAAAATTGCGTTTTTTCATTAATCAGACGATGCAATGCAACAAATAAAAGTAGCAAGTAATATAACCTAATGATTATTACTTAGAAATTTCTTGTCTTGATGTTATTATGGTCGCATTTATTCCAAAATCAATGTTATTCGAACTCTGTGTGACAGAGGAATGGCGGACGAAATAAACACATGGCCTCAGGAAGACACCCATATGAAAAATCAAATTTTCAAGAATTATGGATAATGACAAGAAAAAAGCGAAACAAATGGTTGTAGCCATATTATCAATGAATCAAACTAACACCATTTTCAATGCATTTTTCATCTCGTGAATGCTGTAGCTGCGCAGTTCTAACATGATTAATTTCCTCCTAATTAAAACAAAATAAACTTAATTATTTATTAATTTTGGTCTCTAACAGTAGGTAATAAGTGCATTAGCACTTTGAGTAACTTTGGGCTAGTTTAGTAGAGTATAAAGCGCATTCTTGATATTTCTTATTTTACACCAGACTAGATCCAATATGGCTTGTACATCCCCCTTAAGCATGTTAAGATCTAAATTAATATCTGACAGGGACCTCTATACTAGCTAGGCTTAGAACATATAGGTACCTGATAATATTCGGCTTAATTAGCATGTTTCCATCTGGAAGTTGCAACTAATATAAGTACACCATAGAATTTCAGACAAAGTGCAAAAGAAAATGTTAACCGGACTTCGTAATATTTTTACTCAATCTCTACCCAGAGTTATCGTTGCACTTAATTATAGCGAAGCGAATGATAACTCCGGGTAGAGATTGATTTCTACCAGGGGCCTATATACACTAACTATAGTACTATACTTAGTGTATTTTATATATAGGTCCCTGTTTTTACAGGGACCTATAAAATATGACAAGTGTTAGAGTCAAAAACAACATAAAGTTAATAGCATTTTTTTATTGTTTAAAATATGTTGTTTTAATATAATCCTTTATTAGTCAGATCCTTCTTTCGTTCTTTCTTTCTTTTCGGGGGGGGGACTCAAAATAAATCACCACGTAATACGAAAACTTGGGGAATTAGAATTGAAGTTTTATAAGTACATGTACATGCATGCATGAACATGTATATGTATAATATCAACCCCATCACTAACACCAAAAGCCCTGGCATGGGCCGTTCTTGTTAGTTTTGGAAAAGACCCTTCCGCTTATCAAATGGACATGCATGCAACTTGTTTTGAATCCAGGTTCAGAGAAGATTTACAACAAGATGTGTTTGTGAAACACTGATGCCCCCGTATGGCAACATAGCGAAGGTTAAATTTTCTCAAAGGCAAAACAAACATATTGATACCCAAAGTAAGGCCTTCTCACAAGAAATACATATGAGAAATATAAAATCCTAGCACCACCTGTTAAAAAGTTATGGCCTACGTTAACTTGTTTTAAGGTAGGACAAACTCCGAGGTCAACGTCAAAAGGTCAAGGTTGTTGAAGGAAGAAAGAAATTTTATACTTGGCCATAACTTTTGAAAGGTTAGGGCTTCTATACTTCACATATGTAATCCTTGTGAGAAGACCCTTCATTGATACCAAGAACTTTGACCATTTGACCTTGACCGTGGATTTTGACATACTTAAAAGAAAACAATCCTTGACCATAAATTTTGAGGAGTAAGGCTAGTGTTTTCACACTTTTCATATTTAATCCTTGTGTCAAGACATAATTTTCTTTTGATATCAGGATTTTGACCCTTTGACCTTGACCTTGGAGTTGACCTACTTTTTAAAATTTTTAACCTTGGCCATAACTTTTGAATGGTTAGGGCTTGGGCTTCCATACTCCACATATATATTCTTTGTGGCAAGTCCTTTCATTGGATACCAATTACCTTGACCTTTTGACCTTGACCTTGGATATTTCCGTACTTATGAAAAAAAAACTTTAACCTTGGCCTACTTTTATATTTCACAATTGTATTTCCAGTGAGAATACCCTACTGTGGGTACCAGTATATTAAATTTGCATTTAAGAAAAGTTTAATCTTCGCTATGTTGCCATACGGAGGCATCAGTGTTTCAAAAACACATCTTGTTTTATGCTACATTGAGTGTGTTCAGACACATATCGGAAAAAATCTTTACATACACATATTACCGATACCGATACAGCCCCGCCTTAACACCAGAATTCCTCGTCCTGGGGCCATGGATTTCACTTTGGTAGAGGGTTCTGCCGCTCAGTGCACATATTACATGTACATACATGTACATTCATGCAAATAGTTTGCTTGATGATCCAAGAGTAAAAGAGTAGGAGAAAAATTTTATGAGAGAGAGAGAATAGACTGCGGTGAGAGTTTAGTGGGATGTTACATTTGTGTATACATATTAGTTACACTGCTTTGATTTCCTTTGATACCAATATCGTAACTTTCTCATCATCATAAAAATGCAGCGCTTCAAAATAGCAACGCCGTTTTTAACCTTTCTCACGCACACAAATTTAATTAAACAGTTGTACAAATTCAGAAAATATCAATAAATCTACATGATGAGTCCATAAACACAAGAATATGCAAAGAAAATATATTATGAGTTCAGAACTCAATATTTTAGACTTTTTGTTAGCTTTCTCACATGCAACGAAATTCCAATTGATTAACTATAAAGTCACTTTTATTACTTACATCATCTGGTCCTTTTGATTTTCAATAAAATATATTATTTTAAAAATCATACAATCACGTTTTCCTCAGTAGACCAATATGCGTTTACACGTAAATTTTGTATCTCCCTGAATTGCCTCTCAGCCCCCCATCTTACCCACTGATCTGAAGCAGTTAAAACTATCATTTAAACAAAACACGACAAAATGATATAGATTTAATACTTACACTGGGATACGTGTATATGTGGAACTTTAATCATTGTTGCGATCATTTTATGAGTACAGCATTACTGGACTTAACTGAGTTGCGCATGAAGGTTTTTTCTTGCATTATCTGATAGTTTTGTGGACAAAGATACGTTTCCAACCTTATTAATTAGGAAAACAGTTATATGAGGTATGTTGGGCGATATTAAATGTAAAGTCTAACATAGGAATGTACCTTGTACAGGAAAAAATCTTTAAAATCTTTTTAAAACAGAAAAGCCATGATTATTAATATTTATATGGAAGCATCCTCAAATGATGTAGATTCAATTTTGAATATACAGGATCATGCAGTCTTTAATTTTTTCCCCAAGAACAGCACAGCCACGAGTATATTATGGAATGTAAATAGAAAATATATGTGGATGTAAAGCTGATGAGGAATAGAAGGGCAAAAAGGTGTACACTGTACCCAAGGGCCTCTTATAAGCGTTTTATTCCTTTTTTTTTTCAGCATGCATGGTCAAATAAGATGCAGTCTGTATAAACATGTTAAAATCTTTTGTTAAAAACTCCCCCAATACCTAGAAACAACTATTCAAAAATGAAAATACATCTTTATGGAGCTGCATTGGGGCTTTAAGTGTGCTGTTAATCGTATAAAAATGCGGAAGGATGGATTGAGAGTGGCTCCACTTCATATCTATATAAGACTTGGAGGACAAACTTATCTAGCACTGTATTGTTTGTTCCGGTCTTTCATTATCTATATTTGATACTTGAAGAGAAATTTCCGCTCTAGTATTTATATTCAATTCACATGGATACATTTAAAAAAAATTCAAGTGCATATGTTTATAATAGAACAGCGTTAACATCCAGTGTTATTTATTTTTTCACCCATCTTTGCAAACAATAGAAATGTGGATCTTTCAGTTGGCTTTCAATATTTCAAAGAAGGTAAGATATTTTTTTTTTTAATTAAAATTTGATAATATTCTCATCGTTGAGTTAATGTTATCAATCTTATATACAAACGTGAGACGTTTACATGTATTTTTCCCTTCAGAATGTGTTCAGTATCATGCGGTGAGGATGGCAATAAAACGAACCAAGTCCAACAGTAGGATTTTCTTGTTCCTCGTCTTGTATCTCACGATTTACTGGTTCAGTGCTGTAAGGATAGGAGAGCATTCAAAAGATGATCGTATTCAATTCAGAAGCCGGAAGTCACATGACCGAATGTCGACACCATTTGCATCTGTTATTCAGGGTACCAATGACGTCATGGTCATCTCTGCTTCCGTGTCCGATTTAGACATTAAGATAGTCTCCATTGTGGATATGGATGCCCCTCAACGGTCTTTTGACTGTATTACATGGCCGGAGGATAAAATGAATACAAGAATCAATGCAACCTTACACCTGTGTCCGGAAAGTCACGGCCTGCGGTAAGACTTCTTATTTTCTGGGGTGGGAGGGGAATGTCAGTATTAACACATTAAAAAAATCCTGTGTTAATGACTCTTATCATAGAGTATTTATAGTATTTCAACTATATATGTTATTTCAGCTATTAAGGGTGTGCTATAGTGTGGTATTTGTCGTTTAATTTCTTGGTCAGGCAAAAGCCTTGAAGTTCGTATTTTGTATACTATTTTCTTTATTTCAAAATTTACTTTTTACACATGGCGTGGTTTTCATGTCAAGAATACAAAAAAGACTTGAGTTTTTACCTTATTAATGATAACAATAAGTCCTTTAAGAATAATATTCTATATTCATATGATAGATAATATGTTATAGTTATTGGTTTTGAAAAGGAAATCATTTTTGTTAAATTGAATTTTTTAAAGGAATACTTCAGGACATAATGTTTTCCCCATAATTACAAAAATTATGACGGAAATGTAATGGAACATTTACATTAATCAAAATAAAACTTGTACGACCTAAATATGAAATAAAAGTAAATTCTACTATGTCAAAGGAATAGTCTTGACGCATGTCAAGCACAATCGCCGAAGAAATTTCGATACTTTTGAATTTTAGAATTTGCTATTGAAAATCTGTCGAGAGAACCGGAGCATGCATGACGAATTTCATTTAGCAAAGAAATTATAAGCATAATATTCAACGAAGTATTACTGTGTTAGACTAAAGTGATACCTTATCCACTAAATCAAAAGTGAAAATGGGATATCGTGTGTTGCTACGCTACATATTCTTGTTCGTTTTGGGATATGTGATTTTAGCACTTTGGTTTTTAGTACAGTCTGCTGACAAACATAATATATTCACTACTTCCGTCCGTCATTATCATTCCTTGAAGACAGCTGTGTGCCATAGGTTGGATGGAAAATCCCTTTCTTTAAATCTTCATTCTCAACCTAAATTCGATACCATCTCTCCTTCTGTATCTTATATCTTAACGGCCTCAGCCTTCGGCATCGGTCATCTTGCTCAAGTCTGGACACTTGTTATGGTAGATCTAGGGCTAGATCCCCCAAGTTTACAATGCATATTTTATTATAAAAGTGAATTGGATTATCTTGGAAACCTGACAATTGGTGGCCAGTCCAAGTCAAAGCTCTATGTACTCCCTGAGATTGAAACAACCAATACCGCAAGGTGGGGTATCGGTTCATTCATGATAACCTAAACTTTTTATTGTAAATAATTTTTTTAAATGCCTATTTAAGGTCAAATTGTATATTTTGAAACCGAAAGTAAATTGAATAATTGTCTTACTAGTATTTCTTAGAAGAATTTCCTGTTAGTTTTTAAAAGCGCTAAATTTCCTGCTTGACTTTGCAATCATGGTATTCTTCAACAAAATTAAGAAATTTTCAAGTCCTTTCTTTGGGTATCAACATATTTTGGATCTTTAACTTGGAGTGTGACTTTTATTTGAGAAATTTTAATCTTTAAACGTAAATGTTTCTCAAGTTTTCACATTTTGTTTTTCTTGAAAATATTGATGTTTGCCCATTACAGAGGTTACCACGCTGCAGAGTAAAATGCTTCTTGCAGCATTTTTGCTCTGATGCGACATAAAAAATTACATACGAGTGAATCGTGACCACTCCAGTATAAACTTCACCTTCAAAAATCCAAACCATGGCTGAAAATGTTATATAACTATAGGAATATTTTTAAACATTAAACACAACGCGCTTGATAACTCATTTTTGCATTTATTCCCATCAGATGTACATGCAGTCCCTATTCTTTCCAAGGAGATTAAGTACACATTTCGATAGCATTCTTTTTTCAATAGATAAAAGGTTTTGTTGTTGGAAGTTGTTGATAGGGTCAGCCCTCTCTGTAGTAGCTAGACTTCAGATAGTTCACATCTGTTCCTATGACGATAAAAAACTATATATTGTACTTAAAGAAAAATAAAAACTTGGAGGATTTGGGAGTCAAAATACCCGACAAACCATAAATAAATACCTGGTAAAATTTGACAGCATATATTTTTTTTACAGGTTTACGGCAGCCATATTTTCTTGCAAAGTGCCAAATACCCGAATGCCAGACGCTGTATCCCTCGTCACAAAGGACTGTGAGAAACCTGTCAATGTTTTACCGGTTATATACAACTCAAACGTAGAACGAACGTTTACAGTGTGCGTCTCACCCCTCCATGCCATGTACAGCAAGGCATATCAGCTAGTGGAAATGATTGAATTCAGTTCTATCTTAGGAGCCGATCATTTCTTTTTCTATAACTACAGTACAAACTGGAATGTGGATCTTGTGCTCAAACACTATGAATCTAAAGGACTTGTATCTGTTATTCAATGGAAACTGCCGATGACGAAAAATCGAACAGACGAACCAGATATCCATTACTATGGTCAACTGGCAATGCTTAATGACTGCTTGAATCGAAACAGGGGAGCCAGCAGGTATGTTGTGTTTCAGGATCTTGATGAAATTATTATTCCCAAAAATCACAAATCCTGGAACGACATGTTAGATTCTCTCCCTGCAAACATGTCTTCCTACATGTTTCGATCAGCATTCTTTAGGTTAGATTGGCTAAACGCAAGAACAAACTCAAACGTATCCAAAGTTGCAAAATCTTACAAAGCTTATGCATTCCTTAAACGATTCAGAGAGAATGAAATATTTGGACGAGCTACACGATCTAAATATATCGTTGACCCGTTAAAAGTGGAGGTGGTAGGTATACATAACGTTTGGAAGTTTAAGAGAGGTGGCAGACCATTCTACGTACCACCAGAGGTAGCCCTGGTTCACCATTATCGTACAAACGAGAGGGAAACAGGACGTGTTAAGGATGATAGCGTACTGAACTTCAAAAACGTTCTCACAAAGATAAAACAGACTTGGATATCATTAGGTGACATACCGTTTGGACCGTTGAACTAGTCTCAGGATGATGTTAGTGATATTCTCTTTCTCCTTTCTCCAGATTTTGGAGTTAAAATTCTACCGACATAGAAAAACATTGCATGCAGTGATCATCTCCATGCCTTTTGTTTCATTATAGGACATTCATTGAATAAATAAACTATGATTTATATTAAAATATTTGTTATGGATATTAAGAGACCCTGAACATGCTTATAATGTCTTCTTCAAAAATAATTTCTAGGAATATTGACGCTGCATGATTTTATAGATGGTTGTGATAAACTTAGCTTATTCATGTTTTAATTATGAGTGTTGTGGAAGCTTGATAATATTTATAATAAATGTCTTTATTCGATGCTTTTCATTTTTATTTTGCCTATAATGAATGCTTTCTTTCAGATTCTTCATGTTTAAAAAGAAATTTAGTTAAACAATAGTTATGATTTTTTTTTTAGCTTGAACAGTTTAAGACCAGCGTCGTAGTTTAAGTTTCACACCATGGCTTGAATTGCGTGTAAAGTTGATTGCTGCTCACCCTCCTAATAATGTACCAATTTAAATAATATCGGTATTTATTTCAAAAACTAACACCATCTCAAAATAATAATTTAATGAAAATATTAATAATATTTTAGTCAAAAATTGCTGTATAAAATATCAGATCTGACATCAAATATCTATCAGAAATATAATTTGTAAAAAGTAAACACTTTGAATACAAAATACAATATAATACAATATTTGGTTGCACATGTTCTACAATAGGATAATCGTAAAGATTTGTAAGGACCCTGTCATAGTAAATGTTGGAATATTTTTAAAATGTAAAAACACAAGCGCACTAAAAGTCCATAACCGCCCCTTGTATCATTGAGGGTTTAACTACGGCTGTTGAGCCTTCCTCCCTCCAAGCATTTCTTTGGCCATAAGAGGAAGTAGACGGCGTCACGTGATTGTGATTGACTTTGGTAAATTGTGGTGTATTATTTTGCAAGGAGGTAGAATGTGAAGCCACTGGTTGGTGCGTATTGTAATTTGCATTTGAACCACTTTGTCTATCATAAACCAGATTTAAATTTCTACGGGCCGTTTCAACGGTTGGTTTAGAGTCATTGTCAAAATGAGCCTGAAGTCTGTGCTGCTTGTACCTGTCAAACACAGAGCTACTGGCGGCTTTGCGTAGTTGATCTGTATATCCCTCTACATCACTTAGACCAGTGCTTTCCCGAGAATGAACAGGTTTTGGTAGGGAAGCTTTAGTATCACTAAAATGCCCATCAAAACGAGTTGAGAGTTTTGAATGTAGATAATTTGGTACACTTTGTGACTGTTTATTGTCTAACTGGCTATTGACTGGCGTCTTGACTAGGGTTGATTCGTTGGAGTTTGAAGTATATTGTAATCTACCGTCTGGGTACTGATAATCAAATCTAGGGGGAAGTGGCGGAGGATCTTCTTCCTCCGTGAATTGTTTGCTTTCTGTCAGTGGAGTTGAGGTCATTGCTAATTTTTTATTTTTGTTTAAATTTCGATTGACCGAGGAAGGATCATTCGAGGGAGTGTTCTTTTCAAAGCGGCTGATAAGTGATGTAATGGCATGATGTTGTGCACGACTCCGCTCAGGAACGACTGGTTTTTCCTGATCTTCGTTTGTTTGGGATAAATCCATATGGCATTGGGATCGCTGCATTTGTGGAGTTCTAGGTGGTTTTTGGGGTGGAATATCTCTTTTAATGGCGCTGCTTCCTATATTTCCAGCAATTGGCTTAAGGTTGTTTTGCTGTTGCTGCTGCTGCTGCTGTTGCTGAGCTGCCTTTTGTTGCCGCTGATGGGCCCGACCCAACGTGATTTTTACCGGTTTCTCCTCGCTAGGTTTTGTGGATGGTGGAGACTCGTTGTATAATTTACTTAGATCCTTTCTCCAAGAAGACTCTTTTTTCGTTTCTGTTTGAGCTGGACTGTTATCTATTGGAGGAGGAGGTCTGTGCTCTCGCATTGGAACTTTCAAGTCCGTGTGTGACATATCTGAAGGTGACATTTCCGTAAGTTGTTGTGATCCTATTTCTGCTTGGTATTTCATTGCAGACGACACATCAAGTCGTACTTGTCTAGGATTACTTTTTGATTTATAATTTGGCATGTTGCCTGAAATCAATTTTGCTGCAGGCACATTGTCTCTAGATTGGAATGACAGATTGTGATGGTCAGTGTGAGATAAAGGAGCTCTAGAAAGTACATGAACACCTCTGTCTCTGTCAATCTCACTCTCATTATTGATATGTTTCTCATTATTATTAATATCACTCTTGTTAAATGGACCTATCACATTTGGTGACGCATACCCATCTCTGTCAACAGAAACAGTATTTGAAAATGGAGGTGTGTGGTACAATCCTGCATACTCTGTGGAAATATCTGACCCATTTCTTCCCGTGTGTTTCCCGCGCCGACCCACCGCCAACCGATGATCGAAATTTCGCCTATCAGCGGAACTTGTATATGGATAATTCCGTGCACCACTGTTGGAAATTTCCGTGTTTTGTCGATCGTCACGACCCAAACTTGTCATGTACGGATCAATGTTTTCAAAGTCTGTGGTTATTTTTAATGGGGTAAATGAGGGGGATACCTCCAGAGGTCTAGAACAAGATTCAGAGACCTCTGGATTTTGATGGTTATGAACACTGAGCTGATTAGGTCTCTTTGGGGTGTTGTTGCTAGAACCAGTGATCTTTTGAACAAAGTTGCTACGTAGTTTGCTAAATGTGGTACTTGAGGAAGGTCGTTTTGGTTGTGGTTCAGTTGTTTCGACAGCTCGGAAATCACCCAATACTTTATTTTCAGTACTTCTTTGTGGTCGACCTGGCTCCCGTTTTAACCATGTTTTAATAGAAAATGTCCCTTGTTTGTCTGCCTGTTTTTGATCACCAGATTCCTGACAAGGCAGTGGCATAGGCGGTCTATCGTCAATAGAATCAGTACCGATATCAGGCTGAGAACCTAACCCAATATTCTCTACATCTTCATGGTTTTCATAATTTGACGAACTTTGTAAATGTGGAACCTCTTGGTGGCCATTCATCAATGGCTGTGGTTTGTGAAGACTTGCAGGTGGTTCAGATGTCAGGAGTTTTGGTGAGGAAGACGATGTTAGGTCTAGATCTGGTTTCTTAACAGTTAAGCTGCTTTTTTCAGAAACATCCTGTGGAGTTTTCGCATCTACAGTGTCAGTCCAGTTATTGAGCTGGGGTTTCAAATTTTGATTTACTGAGGAGGGCCTGTCTGGGATCGTCCGATGTAATGTTGTCAGTCGTCTAAGCATACTTGCTCGGAAGCTATCATACCCATGAGCTGAGTTGACTGACTGCAAGAAAATGAACAGAAAAAAATCACTTGTTGAGAATAGCTTAGATGCATATTGGCCATATTAAATTGGAATATTTTATAGGCAATATTGCTACAAAAATAACTCATTACCATTTGGCCTTTGTATTTAAATTCAAATTCAAATCTGTCTTTTGCTATCTTTCTGTGAGCAAGCTTCCAATAGTATTTGCAGTCATGAAGAAACACAGCCCAGATTTGGAAAAAATCTTGTGGAGTACACTGTAAATCAAGAAATAAATTTTAATATTTATTTTATAGATAATAAGAGAGAATTGTCTTCAAAGGTGTGAAAAGAATTTAAAAGTTTATTTTACCTGGGGACTGTCGTACATAAAATATAGTTTTGTATTTTCGAACACTTCCTTTGTTTCCCTAAGATGAGTGTCTGCTTCTGTCATCACCTCTTGTGCTACAGATAATTAAATAGCATGCTTTATTAATAACGCAACTACAGGCAATTTTCTGTTCATATAACAAAGAAGTTTGAATTCTAAGTTATAATAAAAAGAGAGGAAATAGAAATGCAGAATTATCATGCTATGTGTGGTATACATATATGAAGATTTCTTACCTGAAGTAAAGAAATGCTCAGCAGTTGTTCTGAAACTGGTGACCGAATGGGATGATTCTGTTTTTGTCAGCTTTTCCAGGATCTAAAAAAAATACCAAAATGTCATTGGACAGACAAGGCTGACAGTTTAATATATCATCATTTTCTATCTAGTTTAAGTCAGACTGTGTACCTTGTCTTGAAATGACCGGAGTTCCGCATGAAGTGTGGCCAAAGATTCATGTATGCTGTCAAAGGACACCTGCCACATAAAAAATGAACATAAGAAAGTTCACCTCAAGCAATGAAATGAAGTCTAAAAAGAGATTATTTCCCCTTTATTTCAAATATAGTTTTATTCTCACCTGGGCGGCATGCCTCATGTTAGAAGGTTCTGGAAGTCGGAATCGAGTGGGACATCCAATATCGATTTCTACTTCATAAAACTGGCAGTACATCTTCATAATAAACTCCAGTAAGTTACCCTTGTCATCCTGAGACAAAAATGGATCATGATTTGTATGTTATAATTCAAGTAACATTTAATAAATATGAATTAGTTTACAACTGAATTTAGCATATTACAGGAAACTTTGAATTGTCCTACTGGTTGTTGGATTCTGAAGACATGCATAGAAATAGAACAATATTCCTTTAGAAATTCGGTTATTAGTCACTTACAATGTCTTTAATATCTTTAAGTTTGTTAAGGATGTTGATGCTAAAACCATCAGCCTGTCCGTTCTGTGATGATCCATTGAGGTAGTTTCCAACGGCCAGGAGGGTTTCTAAGAGATTCTTCAGGGAGAGGCTAAATGTAAAAGGGTCTCCATTGATAATACTTCAGTCCATAAAGTGTGCTAATATCTTTTTTCATCAGATCGAAAAGATCAAATTTAACCAAAATATCATTCTGTTGAGATAATAGACAGTTTTGTTTCAGGAAAGAAAAGAGGTTCTTTGATTTTTGTTTGCTTAGTAATCCTACCTGTTGGTGATTTCGTCACAGGCAGTCTGTAATTCCCGGAGCTGCTGATCTAATTTATGGTAAGTGGAAAATATTTTTTTAGAATTCAAATCAATTCATTTTTAACTTCTTCCTTTCTTAAACAGATATAAATAAAATACTAAGAATATATCAAGGGTGTTCTTATGAAATTTCTAGAATCATAAAGATTTTTTTTAAATGGAAGTAACTGCTCACCCATTTCAAAGAGCTGCCATTGAGCTCTGTACCGGAAACGTAAGAAGTCCACACGTTCTCGGAAATGTTCCATTTTGGATAATTCATATAGAAGATATTCTGGATGATCTAAATTTCCTTTAAAAGAAACAAACAAATACATGTATATCTATAATTTTTCTTTTCCCCAATAAGGAAGTACTTTCCCCGAATTTTGAAACGTTTCTTGACTCTCTGGAAACTTTGAAAGATTCAGCAGAAATATAATTTAAAAAGTCAAATAATAGGAAAACCTTACATACCTGGACCCTTTCTTTTGACGTAGGCATTGATTTTGTCAACGTCAGTACTAGCCCCAAATAGCTCCATCAGTTCGGCAAACCTACACAAAAATATTGTTATCGTGCAATTCTATCAAACAAAATATTATTATAGTGCAATTCAATCAAATGTAAATTAAGTCAAAAGTAATTCTTGAATAAAAGAAATATTCTTTAATACTTTATTCATATTTTCATCAAGATATTTACTAAAGCGATATTTATGTAAACAAAATAATTACAATACTTTTTTATGAATTACATATACAAAATGAATAATTGACTGTCCAAACCTGTCTGTATTTATAGGGAATATTTCTAATGTCGCTATTGCCTGTGACAGCTTGGCCATTGGATGAGGTAGTGCTTTCATGGTGAAGGCAAGCCGACCTGATTTCTCCCTCTCGAGAATGGTAACTAACTATAAATCAACGTAATAATTTTAATTATACGGACGAAGTTTGGGCAAAAACTTTTGAAAGATTAAAGCGACAAAGACCATAGAAATGCTACGAGCAATTTTCCCAGAGCGCATATAGCGTTGCCTCTTAGAACTATTCCATTATTTTTGAATCAATATTAACTGAAAGCCGTATGATGGATACTCAGATTTCCAGATAAGCACCTGATCGTATATTAATCACTAGAAAGGTTCATCTCGTGCAGTACTCTCGTGGAACAGATTAACCCAGCCATTTATTAATTTACATCAATTATTTGAATTTTTAATATATTTCAGATGTAATAAGTTCAAGTTCTTAAGTATGGAAGTAAGATATATTTATTCACATCCAAAATAGCTTACTTGGTGTTTCGTTTTTCCGCGCTGTGAAATGACGTCACTATACAAGGTCATTCCGTCCATATTAGTACCTTCTTGTTGTCGAAACAACCTTAAAGATCATGTGAATGTTATTAATTCCTATGCTTTAATGTTTTGATCAATACATTATAAAAAAAAAACCAAAATTAGCACAATACAATATCAAACAATGTGCATTCTAAGGTTAAAGTTTACAAACCTTTCAACCTCCTCGTTGTCAATTTTAGGTTCTAGCATACTGTGCCATATTGTATTACTTGTAGCGTTTCTATCCGCATCATCGCCTAAATTGTTAAAAACCACGATCCATAAAAGTATCCTTTAGGTAAACTAACATGGAATTGAAACCAAAAACAAAAGTGTAATTTAAACGAAGGACTAACCTGCGCGCTGAAGAATAATCCTATTCCAGTCCAAGTCCTTCATCTTCACAGAAGGTCTTATGAGAGGTTTGTTGGGGTACACGACATTCCCCCTCCCTGGTCGAGGAGGCAGGGGTGGAGGTAGCTCTAAACTGTAGGCCAATGTGCTCTCTGGTTGCTTTCTATCCTGATCTAATTTGGTATCTGTATTACAAAATCTCTGTCTATTCATTTTATCCATAAGAGGAGAAAATTGGATTAAATTCTTTGGTGTGAAATATTCTGCGTTTAAAATTGAAATATTTTGATATTCATCTTTTCGGAAAGGTAGGTTTACTTGTATTTTTAATATACTTTGCGTACCACACATCTGTTTGTGGGTCAATTCAATCTAAATCACATATTTCACATTCTAAATTTTAAAAGTGTTAGATAAATTTTTCAATCGCTGGCTATACCGTCTTATCGCGCAAAATTCGTAGCTGAAGGGGAAAATATTCTTTGATCAACCAAACGTAAATGAGAAATAGGATCCCTTTTGACAAATCAACGCTTTACAGTGTATGTGTATAGTAAGCGTACATTATTCCAGAATCTTGTCTATAACATTAAGAAAGGTAGTATAATATATTTCTACCAGAATTTAACCTCATTTATAACATAAGGTATATATTACAATTCGTCCAGAGTCTTACCAATAAGATTAAGTAAGGTGGATTTCTGTAGAACTCCATATGAATTCGGCTTTGTTCCTGAGTTTTCAAGCATTTCAGCAATACTTCGTAGCTCTCCCATCTTAGTCATTAGCTTTGATACCCTGTCTTCATACGATTTCACAATCTCCGTATGGTCCCTCTTCATCCGTTTCATTTCTTCTATCAGTTGTTTTTCGTTATCGGAATAACTGTATTGAGGATCCGGCCATCTTCGTGTAGCCGAAGGTTCGCCTATTCTTTGCAAACTGCGATCAAGTTCCAGTTCCAAGGAATGCCCTTCGGCTCTTTCTATTGATGTTTCCTCCGGAATAACTTCGTGGTCTCGTGAGGTAGCCATTGAAAATGGAGCAGCTGTCCTTAATGACGCGTTCTTATATTTAGAATAACTATGGGATATGGTGTCCGCAGAACTATCACTGGACGCGGTGCTGGCCCTTTGTATGGCCCACGGGGTCAGTGACGCATAGTGCCCTGATCTATCTACATCTGTAGAATTTTTAGTGTCCGGAAAATCTTCCTCGAGCTCCCTAAAGAAATCATTTATAAACGATTTTTGCTTTGTTTCAGCTTCTGTGGAATTGGTGTCAACGTTGTTTCTGGAAAAACCGTGAGATGTAGGATCTGATGACGTCATGCTTCGTGCGGACCTTTCTTGTTGGTGGTTCTCATCCTGCCAAACATACAAAAGCTCAGAATCCTCGAAAAAACGGGCACCATGAACACTTTTTATGGTACCTTTGCGAAATAGATCCTGAGCAAATTGCAAAGCAGCAGTACGATTTTTGAACCTGACGGGATTTTGGGCAATTAATGTTGTCACAAGAGATGAACCTTTGAAACTTCCACTGGATCTTCCCTGCGTTGGGCGCTCAAATGCCTACAATTTAACAACAACAAAAAATCATTAATTAAACATTTGTTTGCAGTGTATAACAAGGTACATAACAGCTGATCTCAGGCATGACATTCCTTCATATTTCAGATTGATGTCGCTACACATGAGTGGTTTTTGCGGTTATCTGATATAATCAGAGGTTTTCACAAACATGTGCACAATAACAAAACCTACTACTTAAATTTCATGAAATGGGGCAGTATTACCATTTTTGTCGATATTTTTTAAGATGTATACACGCACAAATTCCACCTTTAAAAATGCATCGGTGCAAATCTCAATCAAATTGGCATGACATGCAACTATGAAGTTATAGGGACCGACGAAATAGTCTCTTCAGAGTCTATTTTACCTGTTCGGAGGAATTCATCCAATTATATATTGCTTGTTGTTTGTAAAATCTTGCATTTTCATAAAGATCCTCTCCATGACTACGTTGCTTGTACGTTCTACCTGGGTTGGGTCTTTGGTGACCCCCCTCTGTTCTCGAGTCAGACACTGGGAATCGTTTATCATGTAAAAGTCTATTGCCGGAATTGGAACTACTTTCTCTGCCTCTAGATCTACCACTGCCCACATTGTCCTTAGAGGAAGATAAAGATCTGTATTCCTGAGCCAGTTGTTGTACATTCTTGTACGTTGCATGTCCAGAGGCTGCACTGTATTTTGGTGAATCCTTTCGAGAATACATCACTTGTTATGATTATCCACTGCAACGAGGAAACCTACACCCTAACTTTTATTGGAATTCAATGGTTAGTATAGTTACTACCAATGCCGGTGTATTCAAAACGTATCGAATGAAATTTAAAAACCGAAAATAGTAATTTGGCGACTGTAGGAAACCAACACAAAATTATTGTGGATTCCACATGCCCGACAACCAGATCAAATATCCATCACTGTCACGATACAATATGCCGGTATATTATCCAATATGTTAGGTACAACGTTCATTGAATTCTTCAAAGGTTTAAAAGTTTACTTCAGACGCCTCACCTGTTTGCTCCTCCACTGAGTTACAGATGTCCAAAGAAATCATTTTATGTAGCACTCAGATAAGCTCCCGGTATTTTCTGTTATTTAAATCATCAAGTACTCGTACACTCGCCCAGATTCCAGAATTAGGAACAAATATTCAGAAGCGACATTCTCCTGTTGTCCAAAAGAACCCGAATTTCAAGTTCACAATAATCTTGAGCAAACATTTTTCAAAAGTTTTCTAAATGCATGCCTCATCATTTTATCTATAAACACGTAATCCCTCGTTAGTCTTTTACATGATTCGTTAACAGTGTCCATTGAATGTGCCTTATGATCGATTCCCTTATCCTTTGTCCTCGTCAGGTCTTGAATGGCGATCCAGATCAGTAATTCTACACCACACAAAAACCACCCAGACTCGCTCTCTTTCTGTCTTCCATTGGACAAGTTGCCTTGCTGAGCGTCTGGGTCCGCTGTTGTGTGTTGAAGTGGATTTAAGAAAAGAGTTTTATAATATCCATTGCAGCTTCATGAATAATGAGAGTCCATCAGACCCGGTGTTCTTTTCACGACTTGTGTTTTTATATGGTGACAGACGACTGCTCGCCTTAATATGCCGCCGACTGAGAATCTGGCCCTGTTGTACACCAATTAATATAAATAAACTTCCACTAGATAAATTTTCTTTCTGCGACCAAAATGACTTATGCAAATGACTTCACGGGTCGTCTTGATCATCAAGGTAACGAATAAAGCCCAATAGATCTCGGCTTCATACGTAAATATATATATTTTAAACGAGTGTCAATACAAATTGTTAAGGTTCGCATAGGACACTTTGAAAGCAAACACGAGTTCCGCTTGTCTGAAGGAGCCTTTATTTGATTTAAAGATTTAGAGTGCAGGAATCTATTTGAGTTATCGTTTGGCATCTATACACCTTATTGAAATAATCAATTGATTAACTTTTTAACATTATGTAAAATCCCCCGGCAACCTCAACGTGTCATCCTCCGGGTTTCCTTTCTCTGACAAAGCCCGGTCACGGGAGGGTGAATTAGTTGCATGTTGTGGGTTTGGGGACAGACGGAGGTATACCGCCGTACGATACTTATCTTTAACAGAAAATAAGATTTAAATCGCCCCTATCCTAAAATTTACCTGAGATAATTGGGCCATCAAACACCTTCTGCAAAAACTGGGCATTAATGGCAAAGTTGTTTGAATAGATTGTCGTAGAATGTGTTTTAAGAGAGTAAAAATAAAGTAATTAAGATAAACATCTTCATATGAAATGTGAAAAAAATACATGTATATATCATTTTGTCCAATTAAAAGAATAAAATGAATTTATCGCCTCAATTAAGTTAATTTAAAATTGTCATAAATCTTCAAACCCACGACAAAGTAAATGCTATTTGTATACGTATATACAGTTTTCCACAATATGCGTTTATATATATCATACGTGAGAACAATGTGTTATACAAGAAGAGCTTATATTTGCAAAAAACGCTTGCCAACAAACATCTCACCAAAGCGAAGAAACAAATTTACCTTTGGAAACCACATCCTGCAAGAGGAAAATCTAGAGAAATTTAGTTCCAGTAATATTAAATTGCACGAGTTTTTGGATGAAAAGTGGTAAAAGGTTGCAAAGAATGGCAATCAAGTTCCCCAAGTTCATTCTGGGACTGTTTAAAGTTACCTAATATAAATCAAGTTAGTGTGTCACAAAGGCACGGTATGAAGTAACGCTTAATCTCTTATATCAATTAAAATTAGTCAATGGTTTTATGATTACTTGATTGAAGATAATCTAATTAAAGAAACGCCAGGGATTATGAAAGATTATTGTAGTATTACATACAGATCATTGTCTGAGTCACACGATACATTAAAATACTTTGCTGGTGTGTCAAAACTGAACGAGATGTGTGCCAAAATTAAATTTTCACGTGTGATAAGTTTTCGAAGGCAGGAAAACAGCCATTACTTTCTACTGGAAAGGTAGCCTGACGGAGACACTCCAATGTCCTTTCTTTATTTGTAAGCAATATATAAGCAGATGCAAGCAGTACATACAAATTGCATTTTCAACTAAGGGAGGTATTTTGAAAACGCGCAGTTTAACATAGTTTTTCAACATAGTTATTCGATCTTTTGCAAAGTGATCTTTGGAATGCAGATTACACCACTATGGAAGAAGAACTGTCCGCGCAACTTTGTGTTAGGAATTTTGATGATTTCCGAACACACCAATTTCTAGTTCATGTTCTATATTTAATGTAAAGCAATTTAGATCTTGATTATATTTTTCTCAAGGACACATGTTGTGGTACAATCATTAGATTTGTTGTTTTGTTCCACCACAGTGGTCATCGTAAAGGTACATCAAACAACAATGTTTGGTCAGCCACCGTCCTTTGTTTGCTTATCACGAAACGAAAACAGTAAAATGGGTAAATTTATCCTGTAATCTGCTGTATAGTTCCCATGTTCTTATTTGACCAGAGTCATGCTTTCAGAAGGATTGTTCCATTACTACACGATACTCTCCTGCCTAAGCATTGCGCGTGCCACAGATTCAATATACATGTACTACTAATGGAAATGCAAAGGAAATAAATTTCTATATGAAGACAATTTGTAAAAATTGTAAAGAAAGTTAATTTTGAAAAGGGGAATCAAGTGATGTAGAAAAAAAAGAAAAATATTAAAGCATCAAATTTATGGAAGTAACAAAAGAAAATAATCAATTACGCAGAGTTAAAATGTAATTATTGAGTTTTTTGACAGAAGTCACCAAGTATTTTCTGCAAGATTAAGAAATTGATTTAGAATGCTTTCTGAACTACAATATCTCAATTGTTCGGAATTTAATAAATCAGAACAAATTATTTCCGGTTGAATTCATAATCACAGGAAGTCTTCTATTACACATTACAATGGAATGGTAAATTTCTCATTCAAATCAAGATGTCATTTTAACTGACTCAATACCCTTTAGTGAAATAAAAAAAAAAGCGTTATACTGTAATACACCGGTAGACATTTTGTATAGTTAGAACTGAAATGGACCATGGACGAATTTAAACTAACACGCAATTTATTTGACAACTGTGAGCTGCTGATACAAAAATGATTAGACTTTTTATCAAATGTATGAATAATTGATTTAATTAAAAATATACCTCAAAGCATGACACTTAATCGGTATTACCGTAAGTTTATATATTCTACCATACATGAAATTGATTATTGCTTCGTATTAATTATAAAGAAATTGCATTCAGCAGCACATGTTTAACAAACTCCGACAAAGCGCAATCGATCGATAAGCCTTTTTCAGGCCAGTTTGTGTTTACCTTTACTGTCCTAGAAGTCAGGTTAAATGGCAAGGTGTTCTTCTTCCAAGGGGTCGTCTCCTGAGATTTCACTTTTGCTCCAAAACAGATGTCCCTTCCCATTTTTTTTTATCTAATACGAAAATCCTCTTAAATCCTTTGGAATATTATTTATTGAATGCCATGTTCAGTCCAGTGTGAATGCATGCGGTTTTTGTAATCCATTGCACTGTGCATGCGTACTGGCTCCATTAAATCCCTCACAAGACATGCAAGCACGTGCCATCCTGGTTTATCCGAAGTTGTGTTTATGAACGTCCGTTGGCAGTCCGGGAGAACATCTCTCCATTGTACGTATCCCGTCTGGCGCACTTTTTGATTGAATTTTGCCTCGCTTCCAAACACAGCCACGCAACCAGGGCGATTTTATCTCGATAACGTCAGCTCTAAAATCGGTAAAACCGGAAATTTTTCTTGGGTCGTGAAATATTTACATTTTTTACCTGTCCTAATTATAAATGAAGAGTGTTTTTGTGTAATTATGTAAACATAGCAGACTCGAGTAGGAAGACTCTTCTTGACGCGTCCTGTGTATCAACACAGGTGTTAGACTGTGCCTACCTGAATTATTATAATAAAATAGTACCATCATTCGTTAACATCATTTTTGAAAGAAAAGGAAGGGCGAAAAAAATATTTATAAGCTACCTCAAAAATATTTGACAAGTGAAAAGAAAAAAAGGAATTTTTTGTGAAAAGGAGGTTGAAGGATTGTTAAACAATGTATGTGTTCCAAATGTATTAAAACATTTTAGTACATGCATATGGGAGGATTTTATAATACTTTAAAAAGTGGGATACCAGCCTTTCAATGAAAATTTTATTCTAAATTTAAAGGAACAAATATGTTTAAAATAAAAAAGGACATCCTAACTCCTCCGCTACATGTGTTTCAAGGATGAGCTTTCTTGACCAATATGAAATATATGAAGATAGCGAACGGTCAAGTTTGGATTTAGACTGACTACATTTATTTGGGTTATAGGAGATCTAGACTCAAATACTTTGCTGGAAGCTCAAACTACATTTAATTTCAGTTTAATTTTTTGGAGTTTCATTCCAAAGATCTATTGCATTTCGAAGACCCATTACAAATAGGCAAACTCCGCCTTATTGAAATTGTTAATAAAGGTGTCTCCCTTTGCTGTTATTTTAGGATGGGGCAATTTCTACTCCGCATCGTAGAATTCTTTCTGTGTATGAAAAAATCCTTCAGTGTCGCTGCATGAGAGAAACAAAAGATGCTGTTGTGTTCCCCGAGTTATTTGTTTTTTTATGTACCGGTGTTTCAGTGCGACATTCCGGGGTGTCTAACATTCTCCGCGTATCGTGTGTCGTTATCTGAAGGACTCTGCACTGTTTCTGAAGAGGTCGTCATGTCGCCGATACACAAAGTGCTATCGATGTCGTTAAAGTATTGAGTCCTCAGATTCCAATATGGGTGACATTGTTAAAGATTTACTTCTCACTCAATAAATGCGGAACAAGTGGCTCGTTTGTTGAAATAACATCATGGAATATTAAATGGATTGTTTAGGAGAACCCTCGTGCCACTAGATTCACCAGTCGTAAAATCAGAAAAAAGATAAACGGGGGACTTTTGTATAAGTTAGAACAACCGTTTGACCGCACATTCCACTGGAAGAAAAGAATCGGGGTAAATCAAAGACATTTGACAACTGCTTGTATACCCAGAGTTTGTTTTGCTTTTGTGCGATCCAGAACACGGTGCAATGTTGTGTTCGCCTTGCTTACAAATGAGCAACCCTCGGTGTGCATGTTTCGGACATTTAAACTGTGCATTTGTCAACAACAAAACTATTCATCATCCTTACAATCTTAGGAACATAAAATGATAAACAGTACAAATGAACAGTCATAACACTGTATACAGTACGTTAGCCCTTAGTGTTTGTCGGTGATTATTTTGGCGGTTCTGTCAATATTTTTACATCCCTTTGTCATTACAGCGGCTTGGGAGTATTACTATTATGATAAATCGCTTTAACAGAAAATCTCATTTTTGTCTTTTCGTGTGTGGGAATTATTTTTACTTACCTTGAAATAAATCTGTCCTTTTTAGAAATCTTTGTCCAAGGGTTCCCGCTCATGTGAATTCAAGGTTAATTTAGCAATCACAATGGAGTTTAACTCGAAAATTAAACAATTAAGCGACCATCTGATATGAAAAGAAAATAGATAAGAATAAAAGACCACAAATATTCAGCTCAATGGCAAAATATTTAATTCTCTTCCCAAAAGAGAAGAGGTATAATGGGGAAAAAACTATAGAATTCAGCTGAATGGCATTCCTTTATAAATGAGGAAAAGATAGACTAGAATTTCGCATTTTTCATCTTAATGGGAAAATATTTTTCGCCATTTATATAGAGCAGTTTTGAAAATATATGTTCTTCATTTCTTTTTTCAGTGGCTGAAGAAAGCGTATATGTTTAATATTATACAAATTAACTCGGTTTACAATAATTTTTGCAAGTATTCAAGAACTGAATAGAAAACAGTAACTTAGCATTTTAGACCTTGCGTATACACATCAAGAAACTAAAAATTTCTGATGCTATCAAACTCACTGAAACTAAGACAAATCCTGCTTAATGTATTTAATGAATGCTTATCTGTTAAAGTTAAGGTAGGTATATACATGAACAACCATCATTTTAAATGTTAAAATGATACAAACAAGAATACTGCAAACAGAGCGTTACTAAAAATATAACCCAATAGGAAACTGACGTTTTTTAAGAAATTTTAGTCATTTACAAAATAGTGTCATCGGACTGTGTATCTCGAACTTTAACGTTGAAGTTTCTAGTTAAAATTCAAAATGAAATAAACTATAGACAGTATGGTCTTACCATGCAAAGCTAAAGTCTTAGGAGTAGACCATGCAAAGGTGTTAATCTCTCCGAATAAATGAGCAAGAATG